TCTATGCCTTGTGGCTAATAGCCACTGATGGACCTCTGCTCCATATGCTTATCTAATTCCCTCTTGAAGCCGTCCATGCTTGTAGCCGCCACCTCCTGTGGCAGTGAACTCCATGTGTTAATCACTCTTTGGGAGAAGAAGGACTTCCTTTTATCTGTTTCTTCTCCCCGTCACTTCTGATCAAAGAAAGAAAGGTCTCCCTTCATTTGATTCATCTGGTTGATATTTATTGGCGACCGAAATCTTTTTACAGACAAAACTCGAGCTCTTTCCTCTCAGCTGGAAAATAGCAGCCTCCTTGGTCTCCCCGGGAAGAAGGACTTCCTTTTATCTGTTTCTTCTCCCCGTCACTTGTGATCAAAGAAAGAAAGGTCTCCCTTCATTTGATTCATCTGGTTGATATTTATTGGCAACCGAAATTTTTTTTTACAGACAAAACTCGAGGTCTTTCCTCTCAGCTGGAAAACAGCAGCCTCATTGCTCTCCCCGTCGCTTCTCTTCAGAGAAAGGAAAGACTTCTTGCCCAGCGCGAACACCAGGATGTGGCACTGTGTCGCTCAGAGCACAAAGATACACCGCAGAATCCACCCGAGTCACCTTGCTGAAGGAGAAGACGCTGCGCTTTCGATCACTGGAGACGTATAAGACCCCCGGAGGATCCGTACTCTCCGCTGGCTTGCTGAATGTCGAGGCGATGCTGCGAGGACCCTGGCTGGGGAACTGCCGGTACCAAAAAATGGTTTCACTTGAAGCCGAGGGGTGGCTACAAGACAGGTTCAGTTCTCTTCCTTCGGATGCAACCACCAGCGGCTCTTGGGTGATCTCGGCTTGGCACGGGAGTCCTGGAAAAGCCAATGGGAGGGGATTGATTGATTGATTGATTGATTTTATTACATTTATACCCTGCCCTCCCCGCGAACGGGCTCAGGGCAGCTCACATAAGGCACCAAGTGTGTTCAGTATACAAAATTACATAATACAAAATTAAAACAGATTAAAATCAATTCTACGGATGCACATATAAACTGAATGACCTGAGAATCTGTGGAGCGCAGGGATGCTCAAAGACCGAACTATTTATTATTGATTTACAGAATTTCTACTCCACCTTGGTGCCCAGTCAGGGCTATGAAATGGCTAACCATTCAAGGCAGATCATTCAGTAACAGTCAGAAAACCAATTTAAAACTGATAAGTAAAATGTGTACAGAAAAACACGGACCCAGCGATTAAAACTCAAGGCAGAAAGGAGAGGTCATTGAGAGAACCCCAGACAAAGCGAAACCAAACCAAAAAAGACTTCACCCAAACCAAAAAAGACTTTGATGAATATCCCTCGGAATATTCACAATGTTGGTGCCAAGACCGAGGAGGCCCTGTCTTGGGTCACTTGGGTATTGTCAGAGTCATCCCCAAAGCCAGTCTCAACATCCTTTCTCGATCCTTCTTTTCCTGCCTCAAACTTGTTGGGGCCGGATATCACACCATCAGGTGGAATCCAACCGGTAACTGAGTGGCCGTTTTCTTTTTCTACAGGCTGAGGCACCATAATCTATAGTTGCAGCTGGCAAAGACACATGGATTCTCCCTATTAAAAAGATGGCGTGTCCACCAGGATTTGGAAGGGGGGGGTCATTAGCTTCTGGAGTGCCAGGATGTAATGAGGTGGGCTACAACTCAATGGTAGAGCTTCTGTTTGGTATGCAGAAGGTCCCAAGCATCTCCAGATAAAAGGAACAGGTGTTAGGTAGTGTGAAAGATCTCTGCCTAACACCCTGGAGAGCCACGGCCAGTCTGAGTAGACAATACTGACTTTGATGGACCAGGGGTCTGTCAGTAAGACAGCTTCATGTCACATGAATCACATGCTGACGATGGGACCCCTCTGTGGGCTATGCCTCTCTAGCTCATATTATCTTACAAGAGACCATTCAGAATGAAAATATTTAAAGTCTACTCTGACATAAAGCACCAGAAATCACTTTTGGAATGGATGCAGTAACGAGTGTGTGCTAGTTAGGATCAGATCTCTGTGTAGGTCTCCTGCAATAATTCCACAAACGGTACCCGAGATTTCAGTCCAGTCCAGTTCCTGGGTTCCAGACACTGACGGAAAACCAAAGCATGCAATCTGCCCTCTGAAGTATCCATGAGTCCATCCAAACAAATATGGTGGAGAATTGCCAAATGCACAGGTTTAAATAGTACTGAAAAGAATTCTACCCACCTAAAGAGGACAGCATCACAATGAACGAGACCAAGACGATGGTCATCTTTGAGGGGTCTGGAACTGTATCTCTGTAAAATCCCAAGTTGGAATCTGTCCTTCCCATGAGAGATGTTTACTTTGTGTGTGAGTGAGTGAGAGAGAGAGAGTGAGAGAGAGGATTCTGATGTTCTCTTCAGCTGAAGAGCTAACCCAGTGCTTAAAAGGAAGTGTAGAGGAAGAGGAACTGGAGGGCAGACATCAAATACGGTAGGTGGAAGACTGGGGTAGATAGATCTCACGTGAACGTCCATGAAGCTGCCTTCTACCGACTCAGACCCTGGGTCCATCAAGGTCAGTAGTGTCTACAACAGACTGGCACCTGTTTTCGAGGTTCTTATGAAGAGGTCTTTCACATCCAGATCCTTTTAACTGGAGATGCCGGGGATCAAACTTGGGACTTTCCGCATGCCACATAGATGCTCAACCCCTGAGCCACAGCCCCTCCACGCTTTTGCCCTTGACAGTCAAAACATGATTCAATATTTCCTAGACAAATAGGTTGGAACTCTTTC